TGGCTGGCATGTGACTCTTGATCTTGGGTTTTTGGGTTTGAGCCCCAGATTGGGGTAGACAGATTACTCAAAAAATAAAAAAAGAAAATGAAGCCAAGAGTTTGTTTCAAAAGATAGACAAAATGGATAAACCTTCACCAGACTCATAAAAAAGTATTGAAAATTGGAAATGGAAGAGAAATAATGAACACAGAGATACAAAGGTTTAAGAGAATATTATGAAAAATTATATGCCAACAAATTGGACAATCTAGAAGAAATATTAAATTCCTAGAAAAAGAAAATCTGGGATGCCTGGGTGGCTCAGTTGTTGAGTGTCTGCCTTTGGCTCAGGTCATGATCCTGGGGTCCTGGGATCGAGCTCTGCATCCGGCTCCCTGCTCAGTGGGAAGCCTGCTTCTCCCTCTCCCACTCCCTCTGCTTGTGTTCCCTCTCTTACTGTGTCTCTGTCAAATAAATAAATAAAATTTAAAAAAAAATCTTCCAAAAAGTGAATTAGGAAGAAGTAGAAAATTGGAACAGAAAAATTATTAGTAATGAGATGGAATTTTAAAAAAAAAATCCAACAAACAAAAGTCCAAGGCCAGATGGCTTCACCAAATTGAATTCCACCAAACATTTAAAAAAGAAATACCTATTCTTCTCAAACTACTCTGAAAAACAGAAGGAGTTTTGGAAAATTTGGAAAATTTCCAAATTCACTCTACAAGGCTAGCATTATCCTGACACCAAAACCAAAGACACTACAAAAAGAAGAAAACCAGGGATGTCTGGGTGGCTCAGTCCATTAACCTTCCTACTCTTGGTGTCAGTTCCAGTCCGGATGTCCCGGTCCTGAGATCAAGCCCCTGCATCAGGCTTCACACTCAGTGAGGAGTCTGCTTGGGATTCTTTCTCCCTTTTCTTCTGTCCATCCCACCTTCCACCCCACCCCACCTTCCACCCCACCCCACCTCTGCACGCACACACACCCTCTCGCTCATAAATATTTAAAAGAAAACCAAAAACCAGTATCTCTGATGCACATAGATGCAAAAATCCTCAATAAGACATTAGTAAACTGGGGTGCCTGGGTGGCTCAGTCTGTTAAGCCTCTGCCTTTGGCTCAGGTCATGATACCAGGGTCCTGGGATCCAGCCCCGAGTCGTGCTTCCTGCTCAGTGGGAGGCTGCTTCTCCCTCTGCTGCTGTCCCTCCTGCTTGTGCTCATGTGAGCACACTGTCCAGTAAAATCTTAAAAAAATATATTAGCAAACTGAGCTCAGTCATACATTAAAAAGATCATATACCAACACAAATGAAATTTATTCTAGGGATGAAAGGATGGTTCGATATTTGCAAATCAGTGTGATAATAAAAATAACTCACGTTAATAAGAAGAAGGATAAAAACCATTGGTGCAACTCAACAAATGCAAAAAAAAAAAAAAAAGGCATTTGACAAAATACAGCATCCAGTCATGTTAAAACCTCTCAACAGAGTGTGTTTAGAGAGAACATCCCCCCCCAACAAAATAAAGGCCATATATGAAAAACCCATAGCTAACATCATACTCAATGGTTTACCAAAGGGAGCGGGAGAAAAAAGATTAACAAGGGGCACCTGGGTGGCTTAGTTGGTTGAACTAATCTGACTAATCCGACACTTGGTTTCAGCTTGAGGTATGGTCTTGAGGTTGTTGGATTGCGACCTGTGTTGGGCTCCTTGCTGGGCACTGAGTCGGCTTGGTATTCTCTCTCTCCTTTTCCCTCTGCCCCTCCCCTGCTTACACACACACACACACACACACACACACACACACACTAAATAAAAATCCTTTAAAAATCTTAACAACCATTTACAATTGCACCCAAAACAATAAAATACTTGGGAAAAAATTTATCCAAGGAGGTGACAGACACATACTGTCAAAACTATGAGACACTGAGGAAAAAATTTATCCAAGGAGGTGACAGACACATACTGTCAAAACTATGAGACACTGAGGAAAGAAAGCAGAGATGTAAAGACACACCACGCTCTTGCGCGTTGGAAGAATTAATATTGTTAAGACAATGCTGCTCTCCCAAGCAAGCTACAGAGTCCGTGCAGCCCCGTCACCGTACCAGTAGCATTTTTCACGGAACTGGAATAATCCTCAAGTTCGTATGGAACCATACAAGACTTCGACTAGCCAAAGTAATCTTGAGAAAGTAGAACAAAGCCGGAGGTATCACAGTCCTGGATGTCAAACCACACTCCGTACCTGCAGGACAGTGTGGTACGGGCACAGAGAGAGACTGATGGACGCCACAGGAGAGGGGGCGGGCCCGGAAGTGAACGTACACCCGTGTGGTCAGCGGATCTGCGACCGAGGCGGCAAGACTATGCTACAGGGAAAAGACGGTCTGTTTCCCAACAGATGGTGTTGGGAAGACTGGACAGCTACACTCAGGAGTGAAACCGGGCCACTTTAACACCGTGCACACAAAAATAAACAGATTGAAGACCCAAGTGTGAGGCCGGAAACCATAAACCTGAAAGCAAGCATAAGCAGTAACGTCAGCCATCACCCTCAACAACACATGTATGGGGAACAAAAAAAAATAATTGGGACTACATCCGCCAAAATAAAAAGCTTTACCAGAGCAAAAGAAACTGTCAGCAAAACAAAAAGGCAAGCTAATGAATGGGAGAAGATACTTTGTAAATTATATATCTGACAAGGGGTTAATATCCAAAATACATATAGAACTTACACAATGCAACACACACACAAAAAGAAATCCAGTTAAAAAAACAGGCAGAGAGGGATGCCTGGGTGGCTCAGTCGGTTAAGCCACTGACTTCGGCTCAGGTCATGATCCTGGAGTTCCTGGCTCGAGTCCCACATCAGGCTCCCAGCTCTGCGGGGAGTCTGCTTCTGCTTCTCCCTCTGACCTTCTCCCCCTCTCCTGCTCGCGCACACGCGCTCTCTCTCTCTCCCTCTCTCTCTCGCAAATAAAATCCTCAAAAAGAAAAAAAATAGAGGATCTGAAGAGATACTTTTCCGAAGAAACATAGATGGCCAACAGACACACGAAAAGATGCTCAACATCACTAATAACCAGGGAAATGCAAATCAAAACCACAAGAGAACCCCGCACGCCAGTCGGAACGGCTCCCGTCAGAAAGACGGGAAATAACAAGTGCTGGCCAGATGCGGAGGAAAGGGAGCCCTTGCGCACGGTTAGTCGGGATGTAAATGGGTGCACCCACCATGGGAAACAGTATGGACGTTCCTCAAAAAAATAAAAATAGAAATACTGTATGATCCACTAATTCCACTACTGGGTACTTACCCAAAGAAAACAAAGACACGTTCAAAAAGATACACGCACCCCAGTGTTTACAGCATTATTTACAAGAGCCAAGATATGGAAGCAACCGGTGTCCATGGTAGATGAGTGGATAAGGAAGTTACAAATGATGTATGCGTGTGAAATGAAACTAAGATTTACAGAAGTAGGGGCGTCTGGGTGGCTCAGTCGGTTAAGCATCCAACTCTGGATTTCTGGTCAGGTCATGGTCTCAGGGTTGTGAGGTGGAGCCCCCATGGGGCTGTGTGCCCAGTGGGGAGTCTGCTTAGGATTTTCTCCTCTCCCTCAGCCCCCTCCCCCAACTTATGCGTTTGCTCGTGCTCTCTGAATAAAACCTTTTTAAAGATTTCATTTATTTGACAGACAGAGATCACAAGCAGGCAGAGAGGCAGGCAGAGAGGCAGGCAGAGAGAGAGAGGGAAGCAGGCTCCCTGCTGATCCCAGGCTCGATCCCAGGACCCAGAGATCATGACCTGAGCCGAAGGCAGAGGTTTAACCCGCTGAGCCACCCAGGCGCCCCAAAAGATAAAAATCTTGATGGACACCAAGCCCAGGCTGTTTTGTGGAGAATCTTAGCAAATCTTCAAGAAAGAGAATTCCTGTGTTACAGAAAGCATACCAGGGCATAGAACATGATGGCCAGTCTCCTACCTGTTGTCACTGTACAAAGTCAGCATGGGCCTGACCCCCAACTGTACTAGGTCAGCCCTGGAACAAAACTATGGTCAGCATCACTTATATGGACGTAAGGCCAAATGTAGCCATCCGCCCTCAAAATACAAGATGCTTCAATACTGGAAAAACCTATCAACATAACTCACTACTTGAGATTATCTGCAGTAGAGGAGGAAGGCAGCCAAGTCATGTCAGTACATGCCCTGAAGCCATCAGTGAAAGGTACCCATTTATGCCATAAACCTGAGTACAGTTACAAATAGAATTTTCCTAACATGATAAAGGTTAAGTAATTCTACTTAGTAATGAAATATGAGAGGCATTCCCATCAAGGTCAGAAATAAGAGGGGTGCTTACAATTCTCCACTGCCTTTAACACTGTACTGAGATTCTTAATACAGTAAGGTTGGAAAGAACCAGATCTTCTCTAGATCAGTTAATAGGCAGAGCTCTGTGACGTACTAGAAGCAGGTAGACAGAATGATAGAGCCCAAAAACATTTTTAAAGAAAAAAAGATGGCAAAAATATGTTCAATACGTAAAGACACAAAAGGTAACTATTTTTCTGTGCACTCCATACGTATAAAAGATGAGAAGGATGCCCTTCGAACTCCCAGCAGAGGTTATCTCTGAAGATTGGGTAGGGTGATGAGAGGTCTTTGACAATTCCACGGAGCTGTTGTCAAAAAGAAATGTGTTTCTTGTGTAAATTCCTAAGGCGTCTGTACTAAGCTGTGTGCTATAAAGAGATTGTGGGAATTGTAATTATTAATGATAGCTGCTGATAGCTAGAGAAAAATGCAGCCCTCGGTGTGGAGGTAGAAAGGTCTCTGCTGCGCAGAGAGGGAGGACAAGGAGGGCAGGGAAAGTCTCCCAAGAGGGAAGGGCTCGGATGCCAGCCACGGAGCCCCAGGCTTTCCTCGTCCCCCCCGGTCGGTGGCTTCTGCCCTGTGCAGCCATCGAGCCCAGCTGTCCCCTCTTTCGGCAGGAGCAGATCAGGCCTCGATCACCGCCAGGAATCACATTCAGCTGGTGAAGTCACAGGTGCAGGAAGTGCGCCAGCTTTCCCAGAAAGCAGAAACCAAGTTGGCAGAAGCACAGACAGAGGAGCTCCGGCAGAAAACACGGGAGGACGGGGACGAGAGGGCCGAGCCGGAGCAGGAAGCCTACCTGCGCGAGGATTGAGCGCCCGAGCGGCTGCCCGCGGCTGCCGGTTCAGCGGGGGGAGAGCAGGGGCGGCTGCCATCCGGCCCGGGGCGGCAGAGCCTTCTCCGGACGGAGAGGAGGCAACGCGTCCTGCCCTGGCCCATCGGGCCGGAGGCCTTAGTGAGCTGTGAGTGCCTGGCCCCCTCCCTCCCCACCCCGAGGAGCTGGTTCTTGGCCCTGGGGCACTCACCCTGTTTAAGGCTGACCCCACTCAGCACAGCTTCCCACCCCCCATCTTTCTGCCCCCCACCCAGCACGGCTCAGCAGCCTGGCCGGAGAGAGGGGTCCTGTTTCGTCATGCCCACGAGTTCAGTAGCTGGTTAACTTCCCTTCCCAGTCTTACATTTTCAGATATGATTTAGTCTTTGCTCCCCCCATAGGAATGTGTGTTGTTTCGGGGAAAGGGGAGCCTGTTCATAAGATTTCTTTTTACGTGTCTCTGATGCCTTCTGTGATCTGGCCCCGTTGCCTGTGAGGACAGCTGGAGCCCAGGCGCCAGAGCCCATTATTGTTACGGGACTGAACGCGGAGTGTTTACCTGGTGCTCAACAGGACATACTCCACCCCGTGCTTCTCGTTTCCTTCTTTCCTTCGAGTGTCTCTATTGTACCTGAAGGAGAATAATTTTTTTGTTTTGCACTTCAAAAAGAAAACGTTTGTGTGTATATTCTGGGCCCTGTGCAGCCTCTTTCCTTCACTTCCCAAACTGGCAGAGCCACAGGAGGCTCCAGGAATTTCCCCCCCCCCCCACCCCGCCCCAGCAACCGGCACCTGAGTCCTGGCCGCATTCGATGAGCCAAACTTGGTACAGGTGAAGCGAGGTTTCGGTGTTTTTAATCAGAGTTAGCAAGGTTGGGTGCGGGTACAAAAGCGAAGTTAGCATTTCCTATAGACCATCAGGGTAGGGGTCACGGTTCTCAGTTTGTCGTCATGATGGGAGAATCAGCACAGGCGCTCCTCACTCAGCCCGCCCCTCGGAGTTGAGGCAAGGGGGCCGCTGCGCACCTGAGCCCCTCATCTGTCACCAGCGCCCACATGGTCCACATCTCCAGGGGGCTGAGGCGGTGCACCAGGAGGAGCCCTCGGTACAGGCAGGGGTCTAGGGGGTCCAGGGGCCGCCGTATTCCAAATGTCTTAAAGCCAGCGTGGTGCGTGGGGCTCACCCCCAGCTTCCTCAGGCACATACCCACGAACACGTCGTCGATGGGGAAGAGTTCGGCCTCTTCCACGGCCGCTTGGAGGCGCCGCACGGTGGCTCTCGACATCACATATCCCCCACCCCCGGCGTAGGGCGGGTAGTGGCGGGCCCGGTACATGGATGGGGGGATGAAGTACTTGACCTTGGTGTTCCTGTTGGGCAGGGCCTGGCGGATCACGTCTCCCACCAGGAGGTCCCGGGCTGGGTCCCAGCCGTCCAGGAACTCCAGCACATTGGGGACATGGACGAAGACGTCGTCGTCTCCCTTTAGCATGAAGTGGGCGTGAGGACAGGCACCCGCCACCCAGCGCTGCAGGTGCAGCTCCTTGAGGGTCAGGTTGAAGAAGTCCTCCGAAAAGTCCCACTGCAGGATGTCATCGAACTCTCGACTCTCGTAGGCCAGCAGCTGGGCGGGGGGCACAGGGCCCGCCACCCCCAGGAGGAACACAAGCTTCAGCCGCCGGCCCCGAGCCCGGTCCCCCACGCGGCCCCACGTGCTGCGGATGGCCGCGCGCCGCTCCACGTGGCCAGGCTGCGACTTGATGGCCAGGAGCAGGAAGGTGTCCTCGGCACAGCGCGAAGGCTCCAGCAAGATGGAGAAGTTGCGGCAGTGACGATAGGTCAGGAAGAGGCGGTGACGGCTAGGCAAGGACAGGGAGACGTTAGCCACCGTGTGGTTGGGGGGACACTGGCTGCGGCGGGGCCCTGGGGGAGCCCAGAAGGGCTGGCGGGCCGCGGAGCCCCCCACCGGCTTGGCCTCCTTCTTCAGGAAGAGCAGGCAGCCGAGCAGCAGCGCCACCAGGCTGTACAGGACAGGCCAGCCCAGCCGGCGGGACATGGCAGGGCCTGCGGGGAGAGAGCGCGTGAGCGGCCGCAGCCCCCGCCCGGCCTCTGCCTCCCCGGCCTGCCACCCAGCCAAGCTCCTGCTGGCCCATCTTCGATTTACTCTTCCCAGCGAGTCCTTTGGCTCTTTCCAGAGTCCCTCTCCCAGGGGACAGGCCAAGCACACCTGCTCTGCCAGCCCTCGCCTTCTGTGGGCATGGCGGGGGGGGGGGGGGGCTCTCGCGCACCTTCTCCCCCAAAGGACTTGCAGCTGCTTTGAAACCGAGGCACCCCGGGGCACCTGGTGGGTTCAGTCGGAAGAGCGTGGGACTCGATCTCAGGGTGGGGAGTGCCGGCCCTACGCTGGGTGTCGAAATTACTTAAAAAAATAAAACACCAAAAACCTGAGGCACCATGAGCACTTTCCTCTTTCCCAGAAAACTCGAGAATCCTACGGTGAAAACGGCACACAGCTAGTTCAGTTCCCAGTCAGATCCATTCTAAGCACAAAACCTGACATTCAGGGCTCTCGAGTCTAAAATCAAACCATCCGCCCCGCCCCCCAAAAGTGTGCAGTCCCTGTTGGTGGCAGGCCCTGCGCTGGGTCTCCCAGAGAGGACAGCCCCGGGCGTGGCCCTTAGAGTTTGCTCCTCCAGGGAAAGGCAACCACAGGACAAACCCTTCACATCCGCCTCAAGTTTCCTCTTTCCCACAGGTTTCTTGGAGGAGTCACTTAAGAGGGGGTTTAAGAACAAACCCCTCGCACACAACGGCGTGAAAGCAAGTAGGAAAGCCGTTGGCCTGTGCGGGGCTGCTCCCTGCGGCCGCGGGCGCCCGAGTCCACGCCTCTCGCAGCTCTGGTTCTCCCAGCAAGGACCCCGCAGTCCGGAGCGAAGGCCCAGAAACGGAAGCTAGCGGGGGACACTGCCCAAGATCAAGGGCAGCAAAGCCAGGCCTCCAGCCCCTCCCCTTCACCTCCACGGCCATGTGGTCCTTGTCCAACAGGCCTTTGCTTCGACCCAGTCCACCCGCAGTCGCCCCATCCCTGTCACCCTGCTGCCACCGGGACAAAAGCATCTCTTTCCAGCCGCCAGGGACGTGGAGGAGAGAAACCAAAACAAAACCAATCCGAACGTCAGACGGTGCAGAGACCTGAAAGCAGCGTGAGGACATTCCGCGACGGGGAGGATTCCAGCCCGTGGTGGGTCCGAAAGCTCTGAACGAAGGCACCCAACCGCAAAGACCTGGGGAAAGTGTGGCCGGCGGCGTTAAGCGGGGCTCCTGGAGGAGGTGGCGTGGAGACGCCTTTGCGGGCAGGAGGGCGAAGCGCCGGGAGAGGAGGGACGGGGAGCACCGGCCTGGGAAGGCAGGCGTCGAAGGCCAGGGCGAGGGGCGCGGGGCAGCTCGGGTTTACCGTAACCCCAGCAGGGACCCACTGGAGGATTTAGCAGAGGCGGCGGCAGAAATCACAGCGCTTGGAAGGTTCCTCCCGCTGCGGCTGAGACGATGGATTACGGAAGGGAGAAGGGAGCGGAGACCGGCGAGGAGGCGCGCACGGGCCCAGCCCCACGCCGCAGCTGGGACGCGCGCGGCGGCCGCGGAGCAGGCGAGCGGGAGGACTTGCAGCTGTGGGCGGGGAGCCCCGGGCCGGCACCGCGGCGGAGGGGGGCGCAGGGCCGGCGGTTTGGCTCCGGAGCTCCCGCTGCGCGCCCCCGCGCCCCCCACCCCACGTGTGGCCCAGGGCCGTTCCCCCACCCACGGCTCCCACACACTGCTGTGAGTCCCAATTCGGTACCTGCCCAGCGCAGGTCCCCAGTACTGGGAGCCCCCAAGAGCCCGGTTCTTAACCGCGCGTGGGCTTCAGCGAGGGCACGACCCCCCTGCGAGAGCGGTGCCGAGTCCTAAGGGTCTGCAGTTGTCTCTGGGGCGACAGCCGTCTCGGGCCCTGGGAGCTCCAAGTCCCGACACGCTTCAATAAGGGGAAGTGCCAAGGGCTAGTTCACTCCTCCCGACGGCCTCTAGCCGGCTGCTGGGGGCGCCGAAGGCCGGCGGGGTCGGCGGAGCACGGAGCAGGGCCCCGCGGCGGACACAAGGCCGGGTTCCGGCCGTTCGGGCCCCGGCGGGCGAACACAAGCCGAGGGGCAGCAGGAGGCCGCCAGGCCCCGACGGCCCCCCGCGGGGAGACGACCCCCCCCCCCCGCCGCCAGACCCAGCGTCCTCGCGGGTGCGCGGGCGGTGCGGAGGCACGGGCCCCTCCCGCACGGGGAGACACTCCTGCCCCCCGCAGCGGCGGCCCCAGGCGCCCCCGGGCCCGCTCAGCCCGCCCGCCGCGGACCTACCGGAGCCGGGACGCCGAGCCAGGGACAGGCGAGGAGCTCGCGCCGCGGAGCGGGGACCGAAGCTCTAGCCTCGCCCGGCTGGGGCGGGGCTCCGGGAGGGGCGGGGCTCCGGGCGCCGCGGGACCCCTCCCCCACGCGGCTTCTCGCACCCGCGGCGCACCTGCGGGCGGAGAGGCCGCCCGGCGCCCCCAGACGGTCCCCCGCTCCCGGGCACACGCACGCGGAGCCGCGGTCGTCAGAACAGCCTTTAATCCCGCGCGCTACAGAGACATCTCCCGGAGCGCCTCCTCGGCCGAGCGGTACTGGTTCAGCTGCACCTGCACCTCCACGGTCAGGGGCTGCGGCTGGTAGTCGCCGTCGTCCATGTGAACCGCAGACTTATTCTTCTCTGAGAAATAAAAACAAGCGTGTGTGAGTCCCGAGAGACGTGCCGGCTGCCCTTCGGCCGCCCTGGACCGGCAGAGCCGTCCTCCGAGCCCAGGGGCAGCGCGGTTTGCGAGTCCGAGATCCCAGCCCCTTCACCGCAGGGAGGAGCAGCGGGATCACTTGTCATCAGATCGTCATCCAACTGGCGCAGCTGTGCGAGCTGCAGGGCGAGCCGCTGCCCCGGCCTGGGAGCACCGTCCTCACCTGGAAGAACCCTAACCGCGGTTGTTCCGACGTGACTATTTGGCAGATAGTTTCTAAACAGCGCATGAAGTCTGGCATTTCAGGGAAGACAACGGAACGCATTTTGATGAATTTATAACATTTGAGCTTTCCAGTAGAAATTAGAATTTTGAAATACTGTATCTACCACCATGAACGTAACAGTTTCCCAGTCCTCAAAGACTCTTCTAATGATATGGGTGCGGAACGTGATTTTTGGATGATGTATAATGAAATGTGTCAACAGTTGAAAGATCTACATCACTCAGTGAACCAGTATTTTACAAATAACCAATGCCTGATGTTACAGATCGTGCATGAGTAAGACAGCCCTTCAAAACGCAATGCAAAAAAAAAAAAAAAAAAAAAAAAAGGCAATGCAGACCAATGAATGGATTTTAACATAACTGACTACAAAAAAATGCATTCATATAGATTGTTTTCACTCTGCAACAGCCCTTAAAAAACTACTAGGTGTCAAATTTGACATACTATCAAAGAAAAATATCATTATTCGAAAGTCTATTAAAATATTCCCTTTTCCAATTACACATCCATGAGACTGGGTTTTCTCCATCCACTTCAAACACTGCAACACAAGAGATTAACAGCAGATGTAGCTATTTCAATGCAACTGTCAAGCCAGACAATAAAAGGATTTACAAAAGTGTAAAAAAAAATTAAGACCATCTTAACCCCGTGACTTGATCATAAATCGTATGTCCATATCTGCGTGGGTCCTTCCTGAAATCCATCAGTGTATGTCCTTTGTTCTTTTTCAAAGTTGCTTTGGCTATTCTAGGTCCTTTGAGTTTCCATATTCAGGTGATATGACACTTCGCATAGAAATAGGAGCCTTATGGTGATACACTTCCATTTCCTTCCTTACCCCCACCCTTTGCCTCTTTACTGTCGTTACACATTCTACTGGTGGTGTAAGCACTGCAATGTATCTTTTCATTAAACAATTAACAATCATTTAAACATATCTAAATAATAAGAAAGGAGTCTTTATATTTAACCACAGTTAGCATTTCCAGGGCTCTTGAATTCTTTGCGCAGATTCGGATCCATCTAGTATTTTCTTCTGCTTACAGGACTTCTTTGAACATTTCTTGTAATAGAAGTATGCTGGTGATACATTCTTTCAGCATTTGTACGTCTAGAAAAGTGTTCAGTTCACATTTGTTTATGAAAGATATTTTTGTTGGGTAAAGAATTTTAAGTTGAGGGGCGCCTGGGTGGCTCAGTGGGTTAAAGCCTCTGCCTTCAGCTCAGGTCATGGTCTCAGGGTCCTGGGATCGAACCCCATGTCGGGCTCTCTACTGGGCAGGGAGTCTGCTTCCTCCTCTCTCTCTCTCTCTCTCTGCCTCTCTGCCTACTTGTGACCTCTGCCTCTCTGCCTACTTGTGTCAAATAAATAAATAAAATCTTAAAAAAAAAAGGAATTTTAAGTTGACAGTTATTTTTCTTTGAGTGTTTAAGAATTCTTTCACTGTCTTCTGTTTGGCATTTTCCCGGTGATAAGACTGCTGTCGTCTTTATCTTTGTTCCTCTGTCTTTATCAATGATTTTAAGCGGTTTTATTACTATGTAACTTGGCTTAGTTTTCTTCATGCTTCTTGAGTTTTGAGTCACTGAACTTTTTGGATTGGTGTATTTATAATTTCCATCTAACTTGGAAATAGTTTAGCAACTACTTCTTCAGCTATGCTTTCTGCCTACCCCTCTCTCCTTTAGGGACTCCAACTAGACGGACATCAGTTCCTTTGAATTTGTCTCAAAACACTGATGCTCTGTTAATTTTTTTCCAGCCATTTTTCTGAGTTTAACTGTGGGTAGTTTCTACCGCTTCCAGTTTACTAATCTTTTTTTCTGAATTATCTAATATGCCATTAATCCCAATGAATGTATTTCTGATGGGACATGGTTGTTTTCATCCCTAAAAGTTTAGTTAATAGTCCATATTGTTACATACCACCATCTTCCCTTTAGCTTCTTAGATATATAGAACATAATTATAATAATTGCTTTAATGTCTTTGTCTCCTAATTCTAACATATATGTCATTTCTGAGTCAGTTATGGTTGATAAATTCTCCTTATATATTAAATTTTTTTGCATGTGTGGTAGTTTTTTTGCTGGATGGTAGATGTGAATTTTACCTTGGGTACTTTTTTCTTTTTTAAGATTTTACTTATTTTGGAAAGAGAGAGAGAGAGCATGTGAGCTGGGGGAGGGGCGGAGGGAAAGGGAGAAAGAGAATCTTCAGCAGACTTCACGCTGAGCACAGAGCACAGAGTGGGGCTCTATCTCATGGCCCTGAGGACCATGACCTGAGCTGAAATCAAGAGTCTGATGCCTAACAGACTGAGCTACCCAGGCGCCCCAACTTGGGGGGGTAGTTTTGTATTCCTTTCAGTATCTTTGAATTTTGTTTTAGGATATGGTTAAATGTGATCCTTCTGGGTCTTGTCCCCTCCTGCTCAGATTTTGTAGTGGTCCCCAAGGTGCTGGGCTCAATCCTTTCCTCTTCTCTGTCAACATAAGTGCGGATATTCTCATGGTTTTAAATACCACCTATGAGCTGACTCATTGAGTCAACCCATGTTGATAGCCTACTACGCTGGGGACTGGGGGTTCTAGGACTTTAAAGGATGCAGGCGCAGACCCCCACCCCGAACACACACACCGGTAGTTTCAGTGTCGTGGACAAGATAAACATAAAACAATCACATCGGTTTGTATCTCTATCGTTTGCACAGGGCTGAGTACTATAGATGAGAGCACCGGATTCAGGACGCCTAAGTGGCTCGGTGGATTCCAAATCTGCCTTCAGCTCAGGTCCTGGGATCAAGTCCCTCATCGGGCTCCTGGCTCAGCAGGGGGCTGCTTCCCCCTTGGCCTGCTGCTCCCCCAGCGCATGCTCTCTCTCTGACAATACGTAAAATTCTTAAAAAACCAGAAAACCAAAACAACAACAACAACATCAACAATGACAAAACCCACCAGATGCTATGAAGAAAACAGGGAGCCCAGGCTAACCCGGAGGCTCAGCTTCCCTTAAGAAGGTGCCCGACGCTGAGCTCTGATGGATGAAGCAGCTGAGTAAATTCCGGGCACAGCTGGCGGGGCTCACAGAACGTGGGCGTTCGGGCTTCGGGAGGCCGCCAGCAGGAAGTCATGGAAGAAATTCCAACAGGGGAGTGACTCGGGGGGACTGTGGGGGGCCTGGCAGAGTGGCCGCGTGGGAGGAAGGCCATGCAGCGAGGTGACCCTGGGGGCTGGCTGGCGTGATGGACAAGGCACCGGGGGGCCAAGAGGCAGGAGAGGGAAAGGCTTCTCGGGCGCTCCACACACTTCGGGTGTCTCAGGTGCACAACCCAGCCCAGCCCCGGGTGCAGCTTCGCAGGCCCCCCCGCAGAGCCTCTCCCGTGCCCCCGGCCCCCAAGTCACTCTCGGACGCATCCCCTCCACACCGCCTCTGCCATCCTCTTCCAGGTCGGGCCCTCAGCATTTCTTGCTTTTACGTTGTTGTTGTATTAGGTGAACTTCCTTTCGTTGAGACAAAATTCTCATCATATTCAACATTCTAACTTTTTAAGTGTACAGTTGTGTGGGTTTTAGTATGTTCACCACGTTGTTCAAACAGTCCCATGATGTAATTCCAGAACATTCCGTCCCCCCGCATGGAAACCCTGTACCCATTAGAATCACTCCCCTTCCTCTCCCACAGGCCCCACTGGTCTACTTTCCGTCCCTGTGGACTCGTCTGTCCTGGGACATTTCACATGGACGGACTCACACACCGCGTGGCCCTCTGTGGCCGGCTTCTTTCTCTCCCCGTCTCCTTGCCAAGGTTCCTCCAGGTATACCCGGGCCGAGCTCTGTTCCTTTTTGCTGCTGGGGAATCCCCATCGTGTGGAAATGCCACGTCCTGCCGTGGCTTTCACCCACGGATGCGCCCTGGCCATGTCCCCTTTCCGGCTGTCGGGAACGGTGCTGCTCTGACCCGGCCCGGCACCGTGGCCGCCTCGCAGCCGGGCCCTGTCTCCTAGCGCTCCTTCCACGCCAGCTGCTTCTTTCTGCTGCTCCAGTCCAAAGCCCACCTCTCTCAGACACTTCGGTGACTGCCCCCTCTTCCGGGACCAAACCCAGACTCCGAGTTGGGCAAAGACGGCCAATGCCCTGAAACAGGCCCCAGACTGCCAAGCCCAAAGGACCCCGGGGCCAGGCGCAACTCAGCCCCCTCCCACCTCACCTGCCTCCTACCCCAGGTCCCTCTCCTGCCCTCAGCACGATCCACAGCTGGCTGCTCCTGTCTCAGGGACACAGGAAAGATGGAGGGTTGGGTCCTTAGGGTGGGCAGGGCCCTCCTGCTGCCCAGAAGATAGGATTCTCGGTCCTTCCATTTCTTTGGCTCCAAATCAGGCTGCTCCTTCCCCAGGTCCTGCTATGGTCTAAATGTTTGTGTCTCTGCAAAATTTACATGTTGAAATCCTAACCCCCAGAAGTGACGGTCTTAGGGGAGCCCTGGGAGGTGACGAGGTCTCAGGATGCTTACAGAAGCAGCTCCAGTGAGTCCCCGCGCCCCTCCCACCACGTGAGGTCGCATGGAGAAGGGGCTGCCACGAAGTGGGCCCTTACCCAGTGACGCTGGCACCTTGGTCTTGGACTTCCTTGCCTCCGGAGCTGCCAGAAATAAATGTCTGTTGTTTACACGGGCTGTGGCCTGTGATCGCATGGACAGACTAAGGTCCTCAGGAAACATTCCCCGCTCTCTGCTGCCATCATTAGTTCCTACCTTTTTTAGCTTTCTTGTTCTTGTTCTTCTTTGCATCCTGAGAGAAAGAACGGGAGAGGCTTATGGGAGTTGGGGGACGCTGGGGAGGGGGGGGCTGCAGGTTCCCCCCGTGGCCCAGGAAGGAGCGGGCCTGACCCGCCCCCTGGCGGGGCTCCTCACACCTGAGAGGGCTGCTCGCAGCGCGGGGTCCAGCGAGCTGGGCACAGCTGCAGGTGGGGTGGAGGCCCTCCTCCTCCTCCTCCTCCTCCCCTTCTCCTCTTCCCCCTCCTCCTCCCCGTGCCTCCCAGGGGCCTGCCCACACGGGGCCTTCCAGAGGAGGCTCAGAGGCCTGCATAGCCCTTCCCGGCCCAGCACTGCTTCGGTGGGGAGGGGTGTGGCAGGGCCCCCCCCCCCTACCCTGAGAGCAATCAGGTTGTCAGTTTCCAAGGTGCGGACCACCCCGAAGTTGCACACTTCGGACACCAGTGGCTCCCCCACCAGCAGGGGCTCCAAGGCCACCAAGCCGCTGCCCAGCACCCGCAGGATGGGCGGGTCCTGCCGGAGCTCCTTGGGAAGCTCCTTCTTCTTGGACGCCTTCTGCTCCTGGGGGAAGAGGCGGGGAGAGTGGATGGGGCCCCGCAGGGACAGTGCCCAGAGCGCCCCCGGCCACCGCAACCGCCCTGGGCACCAGGCAGCCCAGAGGTACCTTTGGCACCGTCTCCTTCTCCCCTTTCCCAGCCTTGTCCTTCTGGTCCTTTCCCTTCTTGTCTTTGTCCTTCTGCCCCTTCTTGTCCTTCTCCCCTTTTCCGCTCTTGGAAGACAACACAGCGTCGACAGGTGAAGGCACTGGAGGCCAGGAGAGAATCTAGGGGACAGCGAGGTGGCCACGAGTGAAGGAGACCAGCGCAGGGCTGGCCGGGATCTTGCTGGAAAGGCGCAGAGACCTCGCCAACAAGGCAGCAGGGCCCCGGGACGCCCTGACAGAAGATCGGAAGACGGGACAAGGGGACTGACGCGCGGAGCATGGGAACCCCGTCACCCACCTTCTCCTCCACGATGGTCACGGTGGTCCCTGCCAGCAGGAAGGCCTTGAGGGGCACGAGGTCCCGGAGCGTGTGATGCATCTCGTAGTGGCAGGGGATGACGTCAGTCCAGGGCTTACGGACAGTGCTGAAGAGAACTGTCCTGGGGGGCGGGGGCGGAGGAAGATGGGGTGCCGTCACCCGGGAGGCCAGACACACAGCATTACTGCCTGATGCCATGTATAGGAAGGTCTAAGAGAGGCACACGAGTTAATGGTGTTTGTTGAGCTGACAGTGACCCTTGGAAGGAGGGAAGGGGATAAGGAACCTTCGGAGGTTCTGGTCTGTTGTTTCTTGTCAAGGGCAGTGGTTCCCTGAGCCTCATCACTTGGCCGCAAGGTGGCTTCTTCTGTATATGTGGGTTACATTTGTATCATTTGTTGTTGTTGTTTTTTTAAATAAGAGGTCTGTGTGTCCACAGCCACAAGCGAAGTCGGCACATTTCAAACTGAGACACAGATTATGAGTTCATTTTTTGAGAAAAAAAAAATTATAGGTGTATATAGGTTCATATATATGAGAGTGTAAGAAAAAACAGGGAACTCTACGCACAAAACCATTCAGAGTAATTCCCTCTGGGGCGCCCTGCTGGCTCAGTCGGGAGAGTATGGGGGCTCTCGATCTTGGAGGTCCTAAGCTCAAGCCCCACGTGGGATGTAGAGCCTCCTTAAATAAATAAATAAATAAATAAATAAGAGTAATTCATTCTATGGGATGAGTTCAATGGATACAGGAGAAGAAACCTTTATTTTCTAACTGACATTTTTTTTTTAAAGCAGAATCATTTGTGGTTCTTACTTTTTTGTTGCTATTTCCCAAAATTCAACAACCACCACCACCACAAGGCTGTCAGCTGGGGTTTACTGGGGAGCCTGGCTAGGGGCTGGCTGGGGGCTTCCCCTCTTCTGACAGCTGGGGTAGCCGCCTCCATCACTGTCACCCACAGGAACTCAGCCAAACAGCCCAGAGCAGCTCCCCCATACTCTCCATAAGCCTGTATCATTTACCTTCAGTGGAGGTTTTAAGTCATTAAAAAAAATAAAAAAACACTTTTAGCTTCAAGAGAAACTAACTTTCCCAATTCCTTGAAGGCATGGGCTGCAAAATCTGTGGGGGCGAAGGCTCGGTTCATTAGAACTCAGCCACAGATTCTGTTTTCTGAGCTCTGGTCGTCAGAAGAAACAGATAGCAACGCCAGCTGATAGCAGAAAGTTTGTTAAAAATGAAAACAAAAACCCCAAACCAGGCTCCATGTTTTGCAATGACTTAAAAATCAGTTTAATGGAGCTTCCAGACTAAACGAGAAGTGATTTCAAGTTCTTGTGAAATTCCCCATCACCAAAAAAGATTCTTAATCAAGTAAGACAAAACGTGATACGCAACAAACAAAAAACCACCCCAAAACACGTGATAGGCACGACGCCCACGTGGTGGGCCTTGGGGGTGGGTGCGTGGGAAAGAACCCGCGACTCAGATCCACACCACGACCGGTCCACACCACGGGTCAGAGGCCAGAGTAAATCCCGGATGAATGGAAAAGCCGGACTGGGAAGGTCTTCAACTCGGAGGGCGGGGGAAGGGCTGCCCCTCTCTCACCTGCGCGGACTGAAGCCAGCCCCGCATTCCGAGCACCTGGCGGTTCGGGGAAAGAAGGTGCAGCTGCGTCCGGGCAGCGGGAGGGCTCCCGGGGCCTGGAACACTGAACCCCGCCGCACCTGCGCGGCCAGCGGCCCAGAGGGTCCCCCGGGGCTGCAGGGACCGCTCTGCTGTCGGGCCGGGAAGGGGCGTGGGCCGAGCTCGCGGGACCCCAGCCCCCAGCCCCCCGCCCCCCGCTCCCTCTTGGCCTCCGTCCTTACCCCGGGGAGGGGCAGAGCCGGGGATCTATTCGCGGCCGCAACTTGGCCAGCTCCTCCGCGGAGTCGGTCACCCTTGGCAGGTGCCCCGAGCCCTCCGAGGCCCCCGATTCCTCCAGCTCTCCCGACTGGCTGGACAGCCCGGACTCCGGGGAGTCTTCGGCCTCCCCGAAGAGCTCTTCAGGGATGTCCTCGCCCAGCTGTTCGGTGCTGGGCGAGGGCTTGACGATCTGCGGGAGAGACCCAGGCCCCGGAGGCCGCTATGCGCCGGCTTCTTCTCGAGCCTGTGCGGGAGCAGGTGTCTGTGCCGCGGTGAGCTTGAAGCCCTAACAAACGCGCGGGCTCGGGCAGGAAGTTTCTTTTTAAATGCCCGTCTTGCCACTTCTGAGAGGTCTGTGTTGGGAGTAGGAGCAGTAACAATTTCTGCAGGAATTCGGGTGTGCCCCATCTCTCCTGGTTGGAGGATACCCTCGGGTCTGCTTTTGACGGGGAGGGCGATGGGAGACTAAGGGAGAGACACGGGGTGGGGACAGCCAGGCTGGTTGTAAGTGTTGCTCCCTGGCGAGGCGGTTTGCTTGTATTTCAAGGGCAAAGGAAGGAGGTGAGCACAGGTGAGTAACGAGCTGCAGGAAAGGGCCTGAATAGAGCCGCTTCCCTTCTGAGTAGAGTGTGAACCGGAAAGCCCCGAGCAAGGGGTTTTCTGGGCCCCGAGAAGCGGTTCTGCCTCATAGGAGACCCCGTGAAGCCAAGGGCAGCGCGTGTCCCCCAGTTCCCCCGGGGCAGCCCGCGGGGCACACCTCAGCCAGCACGCCACCGTGCGCGCTTCTTTCTCCTTCTTCATCTTCCACAAAGTCGTAGGTCACGTAATAGCTGTATGAGATAAAAGGGCCTTGAGGCCCGGGCTCTGGGTCCAGGATAGAGGTGTCCAGAATGCCCTTGACGTTTCCAATAGTCACCACAAGCTGGGCCTCACGGGCCAAGAGGTCTGCGAGGGGAAGGGGCAGAAGTGAGCGGGACGGCAGGGGAGGCCAGGCCCAGCCAGGTCCCTGCATCCTCCCCTCCTCCCGCATGGAGCCTCGTGGTTTGCAGACTTGGGTTCAAATCCCAGTTCTGCCGAATTCAAACAGAGATTTGAAGATACCCCTCTTAAGCCTTGTTTTCCAGATTCGTATAACGGGAATGATAGTAGCTGCTTTACAGGATGCTTACAGATAGACTCGATGGTACCTTAGCACAGCCTGGCACACAAAACCGGAAGCTATGATTACCAAACTCCACTGCCCTGATCTCGAGAAGGCCCTGATGCAGCTTGTGGTGTGGGCCACAAGGGGGTGATCTCAAGCCACCACAAAAGTACAGAAATGGATTGATCGAATGCTTCCTGTTGGCCTAGGATGGTTTCAGCCTCCTTACCGCTTGTCCCCAAATCCCAATCACAGGGACCAAAAATCTGGGAGAGAACTCTGATCAGGAAGGTGAGCTACGCCTGACTAACTGGGGAGCTGCGGGGACAGGCCACCCAGTTCGATGGCGGACGGGCGAGCAGAGGCTTGGGGGCGTGGGTCCAGTGCGAGCCCCTCCCCAGTCTGCCCATCGGCTCCCTCACCCCCACTCCGGCTGAGCCCCCGGAACTGATGCTTCTCACTGGGAGACACGGTGATGTCGTCCAGCACGCAGAGCCGGGGCAGGCTGTCGATGGTGAAGCCTCGATAGTAGGGCACCAGGGCCAGCGGGTTCCCCTGGAGCACAAGCACCCGCAAGTGCGGGAGGGTGCGGAGGCTGGCAATCAGGCCCTGCAGGTCCGTCAGGTCGTTGAAGCTCAGGTCCAGGGAGACGAGGTTGGGCCTAGAAGGGGAGCGGGACCATCCGGGAGTCCTGAGGCAGGGTGAGTGCCGGGATGGGAACAGGCAGCTGTGGTCCGGCGCCAGGCCTGCCCTGCTTGACAGCCCCCAGCACCCCGTGTCCAGAACAGACAGCAGGCCCACGCTGAGGGCAGGAGGGGAGCCTCGGAGGGCAGGAGAAGGACCTCTTGGTTCTACTGCCCCTCCCCCACCCCTCTCCATGACACTGCCATCCTCACTGTGACGGAGATGGCCCTGGTCACATCCTGCTTGCAGTCACTTCCATTTACACAGATCTCTTTTTCTCAGCGACACACTTGGTACTGCCCATAGATCCTGATACAACACCGTGCATCTAGAATGTTCTCAACAAAGACTGACACTGGCAAGAAAGACAGAAGGAAGCCACGTGGGGAGAAGCCATGGGCAGAGGTAAAAAAGGCCAGTAAATATGGGGACCTGGGAAGAGGGTGCGTGAAACTTGAGGGGTCCAGATGCAGGAGGACACCTTCCAAAGCCCCAGTGACTCATGGTCGGGGGAAGCCTTGTGATTCAGGACTTGGGGGCACATGAGAGAAGAATGCCAATGAGGACAAAGAAGGCGCCCTCCATCCCAGTCTGGCAGAAAGGGCCAGGAAGGGGGGCACGTGTGCTCTTCCCACACACAAACTAGAAAGCAAACAGGTACCAGGTCTGAGGACAGCAGTAAGAAGGCAGGACATTTCAGCAGCACATCACAGCCTCTGGTCTCCAGCAGACTGAACTCGGGCCCCTCCCGCCCCCTCCTGCCCTGCTTTCCTGGCCTGGACAGCCCAAGGCAAGGCTGGCTAGCCAGTCAACAGGAAATACCCAAGAAGAACATCTCTTGGGGGCCAGCACGGGAAACTTACCCAATGTCAGCCTTCAAGAAGACGGGGAAGGCATCAGCAAAACAGATCCATGAACAGGGTACCCTCCTTTGAATTTCAAGGCAGTGAAAGACAGAAGTTTCACGTGCGTATTTTTACGAAATTCACACTTGGCATGAAGCAGGTTACCTCGGTTTAGAGGAGGTATGTTTTCCCAATAAAAAAATCCGAACACAGGGTACTCTGGCCATGGTGTGAGTCTACAGACTTTGGGTGGTTACAGCTGGTGTGGGGGAGCTCCTGGCCTCTAGTGGGTGGAGGTCAGGGGTGCCACTCGACTTCCTACAGCGCAGGAGACAGCCCCACAACCGACCGTTGTCCACTCCGACGTCAGCAGTGCCCGAGCTGAGCAGCCCTGACCTAAAGGTCTGACCCACTCCCACCACCCGTTGCTCCCCTTCCCTGGGCTTCGGTGGGAATTTTTGCTTATTCAGTCGGAGACACAAATCCTAGGTCTGGAGCTGGTGGCCAACCAGCAGTTATAGAAAAGAATAAGGCAAAAAGGGAAAAAAGAAAGAAAAAAAAAGAGCAAAGCTGAGTTCTTCCAGACATGACCCAAACCTAAGGCTTAAACCCTTCTCTCTCTTTCTGTCCGGGGCTCTGGAGTTACCAGTAGTCTGCGGTGACATAGAGACTTTCCAAGGGGCCCAGAAGCTTGTTGTGACCCAACCCCAAGTGCTGGAGATGTGGGGGCGGGCGAGTGCACAGACACTCCACGCTGCTGATTTTGTTGCCATAGAGCTCCAGCACCTGGGGGGAGCAGAAAGGACAATGCCTGTGACCTCCAGTCTGTCCTTCCTTCCAGCCTTCCTCCCTCCCTCTCTGAGAAACAGCGGGGTGGGACCAGGAAGTACTCATACCCTGCCGCCCTGTGCCCGCCTAGGCTCCCTTTAAAATATGGGGAAAAAAAAATATGGGTGACTGGGTGGCTCAGCCGGTTAAGCGTCTGCCTTCAGCCCAGGTCGTGATCCCAGGGTCCTAGGATCGAGCCCCCATGGGGCTCCCTGCTCGGCGGGAAGCCTGCTTCTCCCTCTCCCACTTCCCTCTCATTCTCTCTTGCTCACTCTCTCAAAATAAATTAGAAAATAAAATAAAATATAGGGAACAAGTATTTCTGCAGTGGGTTTTGGAAAGTTTCTTTTCCTTTTGTGAAGGAAATGTTAAAATTTGGCATGGGAGGTGATGGTGGAGTGGATGGGGACAGGCGTAGCATTTTGGCAACTGCTTATCCCATGGCAGCCTGTCTCTGGGAGAGCCAGAGGGTCCCGGGCTGGAGTAAGGACTCATGTGGAGGATGACAGCACATTCTTGGATTTCTGCTCCGAAGCCTCGTCTGGTTTCTCCCTAAGCCTGGCACTGAGACACATTTCTGAGTCCCTTCTGCCACAAAATCTACAAATTTCCATATTTAATTTAAAATTGAGACCACAGAGGTGCCTGGGTGGCTCAGTGGGTTAAGCCTCTGCCTTCAGCTCAGGTCATGATCTCAGGGTCCTGGGATCGAGTCCCATATTGGGCTCTCTGCTTCCCCCTCTTTCTCTGCCTGCTGCTCTGCCTACTTGTGATATCTCTCTCTGTGTCAAATACATAAATAAAAATCTTTAAAAAATGATTTTTTTTATTGTGGCAACATACATATGATTTGCCATGTTCCCTACTTCAGTGGTGTTAAGTGGCACCATTTGCGCAGCCATCACCGCTCCTAGTTCTTGAAGTTTTCATCGCCCCAGACGGCTCTGTCTCCATCACAGTGGGTCCCCGTCCTATACCACAATGACTCCCCATCACTCTCACCCCTGCCCTAGTAACCTCTGCTCTACTTTTGGTGCCTGTGGATTTGCCTCTTTTAGATATTTCCTGCAAGTGGAACCCCCTAATATGTGACCTTTGGGGTCTGGCCTCCTTCGTTCGGCATAATGTTTTCAAGTTTCCCCCATGCTGTGGCATGCATCATTCCTTTTAATGACTGAGCAACACCCCACGGTCCGGAGAGATCACATTTCATTTAGCCACTCATCTGTGGATGGATGTTTGGGTTGGCCCTGCTTTTGGCGCAAGAATCCCAGTTCCTGCCTTTAATTCTGTGGGGCATATGCCTAGAGATGGCATTGTTGGGTCACATGGAAATTCTACTTCTTTTGAGGAATCTGGCCTCCCTCTCCAAAGCCTGGGGCTGGCCCTTGGCATACAGCCGCACTGGCCAAACCTTCAGGAGGCAGGACAAGGCAGGGGCAGGGTCTCTGGGCTGTGCCGGCACAAAGACGGCACAGGGAGCCTGGGCTCCTTTACCTTGAGCGTTGGCGGCAGGTTGATGGCGTCTATCTCCTTGATCTGATTGGCACTCAGTACCAACTCTTCAAGTTTCAGAAATTTCAGGAGACCTTTATCCACCAGGCTCACCTGGAAGGGGAGATCAGGAAGTTGAGAGCTCTCCTGGGTGAGGAAGTTGCGGAGCAGAAATGGGGTCCACGGGGGACAGCAACAGGTGGCCACTTCCCCTCCTGAGTCACCTGGCACCTGCCAACCCTCTTCCTGCCCTAACGGACCTCCCTAGCCGCTCTCCCACCCATCCCACCAGGATCCCTGTGCCTCGACCCCAGCCCACCCTGCCCCCTAGAGGTGTTGTCCAACTGTCAGCTCAGTGTCCTGTTGGACTGTGAGCTCCCAAGGGCCGGGATGCCATGTTCTTTGCTGTCTCCTGCTGGGCCACAGTGAACCCCGAGGCTGTAAGGAACCGCTAGCTGATGCGCAGCAGGGTCAGACCCGAAGTTCGGAGCTCCTTCTGTGATTCTTCAGTTGTCTGTGGCCTCAAAGACATTAGGGTCCTTCCTGATGACCATGCCAGTTTGCCCAGGATTGAGGGGTTCCCAGGACACAAAACTTTCAGAGCTGACACCCACAAAGTCCCGGGCAAATTGGTGGGAGTGGCTCCCGCTCCCCATGCCCAGTACTGTGTAAATTCAGTTTCTCTGGGGGAGGAGAAGCAAAAGGAGGAAGGCTGAGTTTGCAGTTTTGGGGCTCTGTTATTTGCTAGAAGCGAAGAAGGCTTTTTCGTAACAGAAAGTAACATACAGTACTATGCCCACCCTTCCTAACCCCGGGCCCCCAAAGTTTAAGTAAAACCAATACAGATACTTTAAAGGTCTGTCCTAGGACCCAGGGGGCCTACCGCAGGGTGCAGCAGAAGTCAGCTATGCAAGACACACCTGGATGACCCCCCCTACCCCTGGGGACGGGGGTAGAGGAAAGACACACAACAAATGAGCCGCTGGCCCTCCCTGCTGGAGGGGCTGGTGAAATTAATTTGGGGGTCACAACTACCTTCTCATCCTTCCTCCCACTGAACACCGAGGTCCCACCCTAAGGACTATGCAGTTCTGTAGGGGGATGGCCTCCCCATCAGCAGCTCCCAGCTCTTACCTGCTTGTCCACCACCCGAAGGGACCTGAAGTAGGAGTAGAAGAAGGTGTCTTTGAGCACCAGAGGATTCCGGATGGCCAGTTCCTTCAGAAAATGGTCCTCTGCACTGGAGCCCTCCGGCAGAGCCCAGGGTGAGTTGGGGCTGCGGACCAGGCCCAGGAGCGCCTCCACTGTCTCTTCCCCAGGGTTCCCGGCCTCCTCCTCTCTGGGGACCAGCTCCTTCCATGTTCGCCACGTTCGAGGAAGAAAGCGTGACTTATTCTGCAGTGGTGCAGGTGGAGAATTTCGCTGCTCAGTGACTCAGCCCTCTCCAGGACTCGGGACACCCCAAATGGAGCAGATTGTAACATTCAGGACAATCAGGGACAAAGAGCTTAGACATTCAGATGGTGAGTACTCAATAATTTTGACTGATTATTAGCCCGGATAGAACTACAGACCGAGAACTACACTCCTGCCTTTAGGAGTTTACTCAAGCCGGGAACCTTGAAGAAGCAGGGGAAAGCAACCAAACATTTCAGAAAGATTTATGTACTAGAAGCTACAAGGTGCAAAAGGTCATCTGGGGGATGTATTAACAAAGGAAAGGTTTGTGAGGAAGTGGTGGCAAGGCTGGAAAGGTGAATTCGGTATTTACATATCACAGTAGCCCAGAGTTGACTGTCTCCCAGCCCTTCCTCCGGGAGACCCTTCAGAGACATCAGTGAAACCCAAAAGCACCTCAAGGATGCCAGGCACACACAGTAGGTGTGCAACAAAGTTTGTTGATGAAACAAACAAGTGAATTGGTTCCTTGATTGGTGTCTCCGTTTTCTCCTCTATGAGAAGAGGAACACTGACCTCCCCTTAGTGCTTTACCAATGTGGGGGGTGCCAGCTTTCCAGCAAGTGGGAGGGAAACGTTCCAGAACCTCAGGATGTTCCTGTGCACCTCTGAGGGGCGGTGGGCTGTCACTGTCATGCTCCCCAGCCCCAGCAAGAGCATGGAGCTTATGGGGGGGAGCTGTGTGGGCAGACACACCTGCTCTAGCTCTCCTGAGCCACGACTTGCTCCCCAGGGAGAAGCCTCAGAAGGGAAGTGTTTCTGGCCTTAGAGACAAGGAGACAGGAAAGGAGGGAGGAAGTTGCTTCTTCCAGACCCACCAGCCTCTGCAGGCCTCAGGACAGAGCCGGCTCTGAAACCACCACCCCCTCCACAACTGCCCTCTCCCCGCCCCCGCCCCCACCCTGCACTCCGAGGAGTGGGGCCTCTCGCTAGGTGTTCTGGAGCACTTGAAGGTTGAGAAGCTCTTTCCCCCTGGGAAAAGCTTTTCACCCCAAAAGGAGCCTGGTGTCTCTAACAGGTTGAGAAACCCTACCCCAGGTCAGCCTGATGTGCTCAGGATAGGGGGTCCTGCCCTCCTCTCTGGTCAGGCGGGGTGGGGGGCGCTCTCGGGGAGCCATCCCGTCTGCCCCTGCAGTGTCCCAGCTCCCACCCCAGATCAGGCCGCTCCCTAAATGCCCAGATCCAAACCTCCTCCTCAGGCTTCTCCAGATCAGCCATATCCTGCAGCTGGCGGCCCCTAGGGCCCACCCCACCGCCCCCGGTCCGTCCCGTCCGTCCCCCAGGCCCCCCGAGTCCCTCGTCCGGCCGCCCCCGCCGGCGCCCGCACCCAGCTGCCAGCGCCGCACGGGAACTCGCGCAGACACAAGCGCCTCAGGTGCTCCCGGACCGCGGCGCTCAGGGTCCCGCCCGGCTTCTGCATGGCCGCGCGGCGCCTCCCTCCCAGCCGGTTGCTGAGCAACCGCCGGGACACAAACGCGCGCGCGCGCGCCCCATTCGGGCCCGTGCTCGTCCCAACGGGGCCGCGCGGCGCCTCCCTCCCAGCCGGTTGCTGAGCAACCGCCAGGACACAAACGCGCGCGCGCGCGCGCCCCAGTCGGGCGCGTGCTCGTCCCAACGGGGCCGCGCGGCCCACAGACGCTCCCGAAACCCACGACTGGCGACTGCCCGTGTCTGCGGGCTTTTCCGAGACCCTGACTCAGGCGGGGACGACCTGGGTTTTCTCTTCTGACTCGTCCGTGCTCGCAGCTGTACAATGGGAAAAGAGTCCACTTCGCACCGCAACCAGGGGACTGTAACCTGTAACGGCTGTAGCTCCTAGCAGGTGCCGAGCGCTTCCCATATGAGAAAAGTGCTGTCGTTCTCATTTGACAGATCTAGAAAAGAGAAATGAGCCGAAGGTCAAACAATCTCAAGATTCTAACCAGTGGATTGCAATGTGGATCCCTTTAACCCCCGAGTCACGGGTTTTAATCACTGCCTGCATATATAACCATTCTAGTACCAAGATCCCCTTTTAGACTGAGGAGTCTCATTCATCTCTCCATTTTCAGAGCATCTAGCATCTAGCCTACTGCTGGCCACACAGTAAGGGCTCCCGGGCACAGCTTTGACAAATAAATGGGATAAGATGATTATGGTTCCTATAATTTGGAAATGCAATATCTTTATTGAGATACAATTTACAAACCCCCAAATTCACCCGTTTAAAACGGGCAATTTTGTGATTTTTAGCATATTCACAATGCAACTATATTCATAGTGCAACTAGCACTGTTATCTGATTTTTAACTTTTTCCTCACCCCAAAGGAAACCCCATTCCCACGAGGCAGTCAATCCCCATTCCCCCATCGGCCCATCCCCTAGGCTTCCTGTCTCTATGGATCTGCTTCGTCTAAGTGTTTCATAATAATGGAATCATACAATAGTTGTCCTTTTGCGTCTGGCATCACGTTTTCATCCATGTTATACCGTGTATCAGTACTTCATTCCTCCTCTGGCTGAGACCATAGTATAGTACAGTATGGGCAGACCACGTTTTGTTTACCCATTCACCTGCTGGCTGAAGGACATTGGGACTGTTTTTACTTTTTGGCTCTTATGAATAATGCTGCATTCAATCTTCCTGTGTATATCATTATGTCAACAGATGTTTTCATTCCTCTTTAATAGATACCTAGGAATTATATTGCTGGGTCACGTGGTCACTCTGTATTTAACACTTTGAGGAACTCCCAAACCCTTTGACACAGAAGCTGTGCCATCTTGCATTCCCATCAGTTCTATATGAAGATTCCAACTTTTTGTATCTTCACCAACACCTATTATTTTACTGTTCATTTTTTAAATGATAGCCATCTTAGTTGGTGTGATGTATCTTATTGTGGTTTCTATTTGCTTTTCCCTAATGCCTGACTCGTAATAATATGGAGCATCTTTTCATGTGCTTTTTGGCCATTTGTATATCTTTGGAGAAATGTCTATTCAAATCTTTTGGTCATATAAACATTTTTTTTGTCTTTCAATTGTTGAGTTGTAAAGGTCTTTTTAATATATATATCCTGGATATTAGGCCCCAATTGTACATATAATTTCCAAATATTTTCTCCTGTTCTGTGGTTGCCTTTTCAATTTCTTTTTTTTTTTTTAAGATTTTATTTATTTATTCAACAGACAGAGATCACAAGCAGGCAGAGAGGCAGGCAGAGAGAGGAGGAAGCAGGCTCCCTGCTGAGCAGAGAGCCCTCTGTGGGGCTCAAACCCAAGACCCTGAGATCATGACCTGAGCCGAAGGCAGAGGCTTTAACCCACTGAGCCACCCAGGCGCCCTGTCTGTTCAATTACTTGATAGTGTCCTTTTACCCACAAAAGTTTTTAATCTCAATGAAGTGTAATCTATCTATTTTTTCTTATATTGCTTGTGCTTTTGGTGTCATTTTAAAGAAACAATTGCCTAACTCTAATAAAACTGAGCTTGAGCGTCTTTCTATATTTCATCAAATATATTTCTTTCAGTCTACTCTTGTCTTTTCATCCTCTAAACAGTGTCTTTTAGAAGACCAAACATTTTTAACTTTGAGGAAGTCCAATTTATTGATGTGATCCTTCTGAAAACACCCACTAGGGTGGACATCTATCATCCTTTCTGTCTTCTGTCAGAACACCTTTACTATTACTACAAAAATTCTCCAAAACTGGACTATAAGACAAAAAAAAAAAGAGTCACATGTCCTTAAAGAATAAGATAAATATCCATGAGTAATATAAACAAATCAAAGAAATGAATCTGGGATGACTCCTAGGATTTTGATGAAACAACGGGTGGCTGCTGTGCGGTGAGGGAAAATAAGTCTGGGGAGGGGAAATCAAGAATCCTGTCTGGACTGAGTTAAGTTCAAGATGCCCACTGGCATCTCCATGTCAAGTCAACAGTTGGATAGGAGTCAGGAGCCCAGGGAAGAGGTCTGCCCTGAGTGGTCTGCAGATCCTAATGCCCAACAGAAAGAATAGCTGGGAACCCCCCTCCACCACAAGGGCCCCTCCAACCACTGCTCTTTCCTCTTCTTCCTTTTTTTAAATTTTTTTATTTATTTGACAGACAGAGATCACAAATAGGCAGAGAGGCAGGCAGAGATAGAGGCGGAAGCAGGCCCCCTGCTGAGCAGAGATTTTTTTTTTTTTCCCCCATGTGGAGCTCAATCCGAGGACCCTGGGATCATGACCTGAGCCGAAGGCAGAGGCTCAACCCACTGGGCCACCCAGATGCCCCTCTTTCCTCCTCTTATTCAAGGATTCTTGACAGAGCAGTCTGAGTGCACTTTTTCCCTTCCCAAACGGCCGCAATATAGCTCCTACTCCCAACTACTTACTCAAACTCCTCCAGCAAAGTTCCCAGTGACCTCATGTTGCCAAACCTAGTGCCTCTCTTCAGCCTTTATCTTACTTGACCTCTCCATGGCTCGTGATGGTGCTGATCGCATTCGCCTTCTTGAAAACCACTTTTCATCTTGCTCCATGACAGGTTTTTCTAGTACATTTCTCTCCCTCTCAAGAGTGCCTTCTCAGCATTTTAGACTGTCATCTTCCTCTCCCTATTCTGTGGCCAGAGGTGTACCACTGGCCTCCACACTTACCTCACATGTCTCTCACTGCTTATCTCTGGTAGGCTTACAGTTTTCTTAACCACAATGTGCAGATGGCACCCGAAGATGGCACAGTACGCAGATAGGACAGCCATGTCTACAGTTCCTTCAAGCTGCAGATCCAAATGCCTAGTGGCTCACTGTACATCTTCCCCTGAGAGTTCCCTGACGTTTCTAACTCACTATGTCAAAACTGAATTCCTCATTCACCTGAGCCCTGTGGTCCTCTCTGTAGCACCTCCGGTCAGTCTAGTTGCCCAAACCACAAACCCAGAAGCAGTCCTCATCTCTTCCCTCTCCACCAGCCCCATATATGGTCAACTACCATCTCCTGTGAATTTTGCCTCCTACAGATTTCCCCAGTCCCTTCACATCCATTCATCTCCAGCATCATTATTACCCTGGTTCAGATGCTTGGGTTTTGGACATGTCAAGGGTGGGGCATTCCGGTGGAGGTGTTCAGAGCTGTTGACCTTGTCCCTGTGCCCTTGATTCCTAGCCAATGGCTGACCTGACATTTAGATCTGGAGTTTGAGAGAGACATTAAAGTGTGAGGACCATGGATCAAGGGTGGGGCCCTTGGAGACACACCTACTAAAGGACCAGGCAGGAAGATGATTTGGCCCGAGGAGGCACCGTCAGAGGGCCACAACGTGTCAGGATAATATTGTCATGGAATAAGAGGAAAAAGAGGTTTTTAAGGAGGAAATGGCTGGCATTACTGAGAGTCATGGAGGGGTCAAGTAAAAGGAAGGCTGAGGAGAACCCAGTAATGCTGGCAACATGAGGCCACTGGAGATTATATCGGTTCTCAGTTGCTGCCGTAACAAATACCATAGACTCAGCAGTTTAAACCTACAAAGCTACCGTCCCATAGCTTCTGTGTGTTAGAGAGAAATTTTTTTTTTTAAGATTTTATTTATTTGACAGAGAGAGAGAGATCACAAGTAGGCAGAGAGGCAGGCAGAGAAAGAGGGGAGGAAGCAGGCTCCCTGCAGAGCAGAGAGCCCGAAGCAGGTCTCCATCCCAGGACCCTGGGATCATGACCTGAGCCGAAGGCAGAGGCTTTAACCCACTGAGTCACCCAGGCGCCCCCCGTGTGTTAGAAGTCCAGTGTGGAGTAACTGGATTCTCCGCGCAGGGTGTTACCAGCCTAAAGTCAGAGCCGTAGCTGGGGCTGTGGGTCTCAGCTGGGGCCCATTGTCCTCCTCCAACTCATGGTTCTTTACCAAATTCATCTTCTTCTCATGCTTTCCACCTGGCGCCTCCCTCTGTAGGCCAGCAATGCCAACTGAGTCTTTCTCCTGCTTCAAGTCTCTCTGCTTTCCTCTTTGTATCTAAGGGTTTGTGTAACTACACTGGATCCACCTGGCAAACAACCCATCTTCAGGTCAGCTGATTAATAACCTTAACTACATCTGCAAAATCCCTATAATGTCAGAAAATTAGGGGAGTTAACATCAGAGGGTGAAAGTCACGTGGGCAAAATTCTGCCTACGGTGGACTTGGCTAGAGGATTTTGAATAAGTTGTTAGGGTAGAGCCATATTGTGGTGGTTTGGGAAGTGAAGTAAAGTGTGTGTAGACCCTTCTGTCAAGAAGCTTAGAGAAGAAGATGAAAGAGACAGCAGGGGCTGGAAGGGGGTTTGGGTTTAAGGGTGGGAGGGGGGTTCCCAGCTCTCTCTTCCATTGTGAATCTTGAATTCTGTGGATGGTCCCGGCCTGACCTTGTCCCTGGGCTCTTGATTCCTAGTCAGCGGCTAACTTGACGTTGAGTAGATG